GGCAGGCTCTGGGGATTGTTGATGATCAGGCCTGGGGGGGGTTCAGGCCTAAAGCTGTGTAAGGGTTCCCCAAATTTTTAAGGGGGGGAACTGCGGCGGTGCAGTAAAACATGGGGGGAGGGGACGGTGACACAGTGTTTTATTACACCAGGTTACACCAACCCTAGTGATGTCACTGCTCTGCCATCAAGTGATATATATTATATGCATAAAATACGTAAAAATATTTTACATAATTTTAAATAAATATTTCCTTCAAATACTATTGTTGGGTTAGTGCAGATGGGTGTTTTAGGTTTTTGTGAAGCATTTGTAAAGGTTCTGGGAGTCTTCATTGGTTTGTTTATTTTGGTGTAAATGAATTGCTGCTCTGCATTTTGAGGAAGGAGGATTGGAATAGCAATGTCGATATAATGTTCTCTTCTACGTGAAAATTCTCTTTTTCTTAGAATACCAGGATTGGGGTTTGCTTTCATTTTATTCATGGCCATACACAGGCAGTCATAAGAAGGTTCTGATGTGTTTAACAGTAACAGAAGGTTTCCTCATATTTCACGTTATTTTCAATACCAACAATTGGAGGAATATTCCTCATTTCAGATAGTGGGTGAAGCCATGCAGTTTTTTCCTATATACCTTCTGTCCCGCTCTGCATCCAGAACCACCAGTTTCTAGCAAAGATTCTGCCTTGTTCTTGGCATTGAATGGGACATTGTGAATACCTTGTGTTCTACAAAGACTCCATTGTGCCATGCATTGGTCCAGTTGGGGGCTTTCTGTTCCTATTTGCCCACCTTATAACCGGTTGGGTTATGACTTCCTAAACCTTTTGATGAAATCTCCCACCATCCCTTCCAAATAGAAATATGAATATAAGGATCAACATCAAATGGAAACCTTTAAAGGACTCTTCATATCCCAAACCTCCTGCTGGACTGATTCTCTTTGTCTCTGTGTTAGACTTCTAGCATTCTCATTAACAAAGGGGTCTCTTTATTTAAAAAAAAAATAAATAAAAATATATGATGTGCGATAGTCTCAAGCATTCTCTCAGTTGTCATGAATTTTCCCATATTTTACATAATATGTTTATTTCCTGTGTCAGCCATATCTAGTGGACACAATGTGGTATTTTCTTGATAGATGTAATTCAGGAAAATACTGGCTTATGGCCACTAGATGGAGCTGATGATCATAAGAAATAAATGCCTTAGGCCAACATGTGTTTATTCATGACAACTGAACAAGTGCCTGAGACATTCTCACAGCAAATTGACTATAAATAGACTCCTAGGCTGTGTGTCTCAAGCATTCCCTCAGCTGTCATGAATTATCCCGTATTTTGCTTTCCACCAGTGTATTAAGGTTTGAAAATGAGCCCAATAAAGGAGATTGTTTTGAGATGTTTGGGTTTTTGCCCACAAATGGAGGAATCTGCATTCAGTCAAGGCTCCTCCTGGGGAAGATGTTGCTGTTGAGGTAGAGTATGTGAGTGTGGACACTCTGGAAGCTCATGTCCGGGCCGGTCACCTTTGATAAGACAACAATCATTTTTGGAACAACAATTCTCAACAAATTACAATTGTATCCATGATGTCATATATAGACCCCAGATGGTTTAGCCAGATCAGGGAAAGCTGCATCCCAACATATGCTTTGGAAACTGTAACACAGTTGGCAGATGTGTTGATATTGTTCAACTGAAACCAGAACTCCAGGTTCCTTTTCCCCTTAAAGTGATACTAAACCCCCCACTGTTCAATTTACATGATCCCTTCCCTTTCTGCATATGGATGATGACACTGTATTTACAGTTGTGTCCAAAATTATTCAACCCCCAATGCTGTAAAGGGGTTTAGGGACTATAGTGTACATTTGGAATTGTATTCAGAATCAAATCCTACAAGGACGTTGTAACTACCCAAATGCAACTAAAATGACATAATTGTTTATGTAATACAGTAGTAAATGGTTCTTATGTGGTTTCTTCATTGCCACAATTATTCAACCCCTTAAAGACTACCACTCTGAAGAACAGAGGTTCATACAGGTGCTTTCCATCAGGTATTGAAAACACCTGTGGATGTCACCGAGCAGCAATCAAGCATAATAAGCACCAATTAGGCAGCTTTAAAATGACTGTGATACTCAGCTCCTTCTAGACATTTACTGGTGTGGTTACAAACATGGTGAAGGCAAGAGAATGGTCCAGGAAGACAAGAGAAGAGGTGATTTCTCTTCACAGGAAGGGCAATGGCTATAAGAAGATTGCAAAGATGTTAAACATACCAAGAGACACCTTAGGAAGCATCATTCGCAAAATTCAAGGCAAAGGGCACTGTTGAAACGCTACCTGGTCGTGGCAGAAAGAAGATGCTGACTTCGACTGCTGTGCGCTACCTGAAGCGTAGAGTGGAGAGAAGTCCCCGTGTGACTGCTGAGGAACTGAGAAAAAGATTTGTCAGATGTGGGTACAGAAGTTTCAGCCCAGACAATAAGACGCACACTGCGTAATGAAGGCCTCCGTGCCAGAACTCCCAGGCGTACCCCCTTGCTGTCTCCAAAGAATAAGAAGAGTCGACTGCAGTATGCCAAAAGCCATGTGGACAAACCACAAAAGTTGTGGGATAGTGTTCTGTGGACTGATGAAACAAAATTAGAACTGTTTGGGCCCATGGATCAACGCTATGTTTGGAGGAGGAAGAACAAGGCCTATGATGAAAAGAACACCTTGCCTACTGTGAAGCATGGTGGAGGGTCAATCATGCTTTGGGGCTGTTTTGCTTCTGCAGGTACAGGGAAGCTTCAGCGTGTGCAAGGTACCATGAATTCTCTTCAGTACCAGGAGATATTGGATGGAAACGTGATGCAGTCCGTCACACACCTGAGGCTTGGGAGACGTTGGACCTTTCAACAGGACAATGATCCCAAGCATACCTCCAAGTCCACTAGAGCATGGTTGCAGAGGAAAGGCTGGAACATTTTGGAGTGGCCATCGCAGTCACCAGACTTAAATCCGATTGAGAACCTCTGGTGGGACTTAAAGAAAGCAGTTGCAGTGCGCAAGCCTAAGAATGTGACTGAACTGGAGGCCTTTGCCCATGAAGAATGGGCGAAGATACCCGTAGATCGCTGCAAGACACTTGTGTCAAGCTATGCTTCACGTTTAAAAGCTGTTATAACTGTAAAAGGATGCTGTACTAAGTACTAAGATTGAATGTCACTTGGGGGTTGAATAAAAATGATAATGCTGTGAGCACAGAAAAGACATTTGTGGTTATTTCATTATAACTGTTATGTTATATTTGTCTGACCTACAAGTGCCTCTTTAATGTAAATGTAAGCAAGATGACTGAATGATCAAAAGCAATGTCAAACTGGCCAAAACACTCAATTTCAGTGGGGGTTGAATAATTTTGGACACAACAATGTATTTTATAAAGAAGAAAATAAAAAATATTGAAGCAACTTTTTCCTAATAGATATACAGCTGTCACATGAGCCAGCTGTTTCCCATTCTGTCTAGGAGGAGCTTCTAGGCCTCTGCTGATGGTCACATGTTTACAATAAAAAATAAAAAAAAACGCTTTTGGAATACAGAATAGAAATAAATAATTAATATCTATAAACTGTTTTAGATTGTCATACAAATATATATTTGAAATCAAATTGTTATTATTTTTTGGCAATAACATGGTGTGGGCAGATTTCTGCCAGTCACAGGCTGTGTCACGCCCTTGCAGCTTGTGTCTTAGAATAACAGGGAGGTGAAGCCTCAATCAATCAAGACGTAATATCCAGCTCCATTGTGTTTAGCTGATTAGTGGGCATGGGAGAGGAGGGAGTGGCTGTCATTTACCCCTGTGTAAACGACCACATGTGTGACTCTATAGTCAGATGTGCTGCTCAGATGTGATAGGAAGAAAATGCTCAACATGGAAACTCGCTGAAAACTGAGCATGTGCAGTAACTACCAACACTGCTCTACAAAATCCCCAACTGAGTTGAGGACATGGACAGAAGGGAGAGATAGAGAGAGAAAACAGCAGGTTGATTGCAGATTACAGAAAATGAATCCGATAGTGAATGAGTGAGTATAAACAGCATGTTTTTCTTGATCGCTTTTATTGATGTGGGTTTAGTGACACTTTAAATTGTTAATTTGGGCCAGTTCATTCCAAACAAATTATTTCCATGGCAGAATGGTCTGGGTATGCTGTTTTTTTTTACAAATCAAAATTCTGACACATTTTTCATTATTCAGAGAGTAGGAATGTGGATGTAATAAAATTTTGGATGTATCTGATTTTGAGAAAAAATATTATTAAAATTAAAAATGGAAACATATTGCAATAATACCATAAGGTATAAAGTGAACTAAGACGGTGCTTCATACTTAGGCAGCTTTATAGAAGAGAGCAGAAAAATAATATAATATAATAAAATAAAATAAAACAAAACAAAAAAAAATTAAATAAAATAGAAAAAACAAAATAGAATAGATAAATAAAAGAATAGAACAGAATAGAATTATATTCTATTCTGTTTTATTCTATTCAGCAGCCAGAGTGGGAATCATTATCTTATTTCACATTTATACCTTACTGTATTTATTGCAATATGTTTTCTATTTTGAATTCAAACTAATTTTTGAATGCACATAATTTTGAATCAATTTGAAAATAACAAATATTAAAAACTAATTTACAAAAAAATGAATAATTCTAGCATAAAGAATATGACAATAAAACATATTAACTTAACAAATGAACCAGAAAAACAACATACATTGTTCCGTTGTGCACATCTCTAGCTGTTATTGACCCTAGTTGCCTTGTATTTTTATTGACTATTATTAGAAGGATAGAGATGAGCGAAGTATTCAAAAATTCGATTCGACTGATTCGGCAAATTCGTGAAAAAAGTTTGATTCGATCAATGCGAATATATTCGCTGCAAATTTAACTTATAAAAGGGTGTTTCTAGGCTTCAGAGAGCCTTTATATTAGTGCAGAACACTGTACCTTTAATTTAAATGCCCTTGGAGTCTGCTGGGGAAGAGAAATAATACTGTCAGTCAGTATGACATGCAGATGAGTGCCGTCGATCTTAGAATCACCGCACACTTCACTCATTTGGGCAGTCACGGGGCCAAAACCAGAGTGTGGAGCCACAGTGTGGCGGTGGAGGCAGCAGCAATGGGAGGCCATACAGCACCCTATGACAAAAATGGAACCCACCAGCAGTGTGAGGAGACCTGAAAGTGGCACATGGCAGAGTGTGGCGATGGAGACAGCAGCAATGGGAGGCGGTACAGGGACCCATGACACAATCTGGACCTGGCAGCAGCATGAGGAGGCGGTACAGGGGCCCATGACAGATTACGGGCCTGGCAGCAGCATGAGGAGTTGGTACGGGGGCCCATGGCAGATTAGGGGCCTGGCAGCAGCAATGGGAGGCCGGGGACCCATGACACACTCTGGACCTGGCCGTAAAGGGACCCATGACAGACACAATCTGGACCTGGCAGCAGCATGAAAGAGGCGGTACAGGGGCCCATGACAGATTACGGGCCTGGCAGCAGCATGAGGAGTTGGTACGGGGGCCCATGAAACACTCTGGACCTGGCAGCAGCATGAGGAGGCGGTACAGGGGCGCATGACAGATTACGAGCCTGGCAGCAGCAACTTGGACAGGAGGACGTTCAGCTTCTGCACCGTCTGGTGCGTGCTCGCAAACTGTTGTCTCTTGGAAAACGGATTCCAAGAAAGACTGCTGACGGAATCCGTGAAGAGGAGTAGCAGGAGAAGGAGCATCTGAACGAGCGGAATATGCCAACAAGCGACAACAGGGGCCCATGACAGATTACGGGCCTGGCAGCAGCATGAGGAGTCGGTACGGGGGCCCATGGCAGATTATGGGCCTGGCAGCAGCAATGGGAGGCCCGTAATCTGCCAGCACCCTATGACAAAAAATGGAACACACCAGCAGTGTGTGAGGAGACCTGAAAGTGGCACATGGCAGAGTGTGGCGATGGAGACAGCAGCAATGGGAGGCCGTACAGGGACCCATGAGAGACTCTGGACCTGGCAGCAGCATGAGGAGGTGGTACAGGGGGCCCATGGCAGATTAGGGGCCTGGCAGCAGCTATGGGAGGCCCGTAATCTGCCAGCACCCTATGACAAAAAAATGGAACACACCAGCAGTGTGAGGAGACCTGAAAGTGGCACATGGCATGACACACTGTGGACCTGGCAGCAGCATGAGGAGGCGGTACAGGGGCCCATGGCAGATTAGGGCCTGGCAGCAGCTATGGGAGGCCCGTAATCTGCCAGCACCCTATGACAAAAAATGGAACACACCAGCAGTGTGAGGAGACCTGAAAGTGGCACATGGCAGAGTGTGGCGATGGAGACAGCAGCAATGGGAGGCCGTACAGGGACCCATGAGAGACTGTGGACCTGGCAGCAGCATGAGGAGGCGGTACTGGGGCCCATGGCAGATTAGGGGCCTGGCAGCAGCAATGGGAGGCCCGTAATCTGCCAGCACCCTATGACAAAAAATGGAACACACCAGCAGTGTGAGGAGACCTGAAAGTGGCACATGGCAGAGTGTGGCGATGGAGACAGCAGCAAAATGGGAGGCCGTACAGGGACCCATGAGAGACTGTGGACCTGGCAGCAGCATGAGGAGGCGGTACTGGGGCCCATGACAGATTACGGGCCTGGCAGCAGCAATGGAGGCCCGTAATCTGCCAGCACCCTATGACAAAAAATGTAAACACACTAGCAGTGTGAGGACACCTGAAAGTGGCACATGGCAGAGTGTGGCGATGGAGACAGCAGCAATGGGAGGCCGTAAAGGGACCCATGAGAGAATGGGACCTGGCAGCCGCATGTGGAGGCAGGCGTTACAGGGGGCCCATGGCAGTTTAGGGGCTGGCAGGAAGCTATGGAGGGGCCCGTAATATGCCAGCCACCCCTATGTCACGCCTCAAAAAATTGGAACACTCAAGCAGCTGTGAGGGAGACTGAATCGACAAAAAAAAAAACATGGCACATGGCAGTAGTGTTGGCTGATCAGAGACTGCAGCAGGAGGAATGACCAGTACAGGTGACCATGAGTGACTCTGGGAAACGCCTAAGGCAGCAGCAATGAGGATTATACGGGTATTATGGGGCCATGGATCAATATATATAAACGCACTGTGAACAAAACTAACCTTTCCATAATCTTAGGAGGTGCCCGTAATCTGCAGGCACCCTATGACAACAAGGAGAGTTGGGACTTGGTCAGGACTGCAGTAGTGTTCCTGGGACGACTGTGAAAGTGGCACCTCTGGCATGAGTCTCAGGGCTGTGGGATTCCCAGGCAGCAGCATGACTAAGTGGCGTTGCTATTCACCAGGGCCCTGATGGCTGTTTAAGGGCCTTGGCAGCAAGACTATGGGACCAGGTCGCCGTAATCTGACAGTACACTGCTAGTCAAAAAATGGAAACGCCACGAGGTATGAGCAGGTACGGCTGGATCCGTTAGCAGGATGGATGGCACATGGCAGAGTAGTTAGCGTGGTCAGATGGAGGACAGCAGCAATGGGAGGCCCGTTACAGGGACCCATGAGAGGACTTGGACATGGCAGCTGCTTGTGCGAGGCGTACAGGGGCCCATTGGCAGATTAGGGGCTGGCAGAGCTATGGGAGGCCCGTAATCTGCCAGCACCATATGACAAAAAATGGAAAACACACAGCCGCTGTGAGGAGACCTGAAAGTGGACACATGGCATGAGACACTGTGGGACCTGGCAGCAGCATGAGGTGGCGGTACAGGGGCCCATGGCAGTTTTAGGGCCTGGCACAGCAGCTATGGGAGGCCCGTAATCTGCCAGCACCCATATGACAAAAAATTGGAACACCCAGCAGTGTGAGGAGACCTGAAAGTGGGCACATGCAGAGTGTGGCGAGGGAGACAGCAGCTATTGGGAGGCGTTCGGGGACCCATGAGACCACTCTGCGACCATGGCCCACACGGCGGAGAGTCCCCCCACCAGTGCTGAGGCACCCGTGGTCAGCTTGGGACTGCAGCCACACGGCAGGAGAGTCCCCCCCCAGTCTGAAACCATTCCCGCAGTGGCGATGGAGACGCAGCAATGGGAGGCCTTTTCAGGGACCATGAGAGACTTGGACTGGCAGCGCATGGGAGGCGGTAAGGGGCCCTTTGGGGAAATTTGGGGCCCGGCAGCAGCTATGGGAGGCCCAGTAATCTGCCAGACCCTTGACAAAAAAGTAAACCACCGCGGTGGGAGACCCGAAGTGGCACATGGCAGAGTGTGGCGATGGAGACGCAGCAATGTGAGGCCCTCAGGGACCATGAGGACTTGGACCCGGCAGCAGCTTAGGGGCGGCTGGGGCCCCTGGGAGATTACGGGCCTGGGAGCGCAAGGGAGGCCCGTAAACTGCCAGCACCCTATGACAAAAAAAGGGGAAACACCCCGCAGTGTGTGAGGGGACCTGAAAGTGGCA